GAAAGTGAATGGTTATGTCTTGGTAAAGGCAAGAAGAACAAAGTGTTGCCATCCTGAAACTCCTGTGTGAAGCCAGTTTCCTGAGGCCTCTGCAGGAGGCTTGGCTGCTGCATCTCACATAGCCTGGGGAGGCATCTTCAGGTAAAGGTGAACTCCTTCTGCCTATGCCCCAAAGCAGCCAGATGCAGTTTGCTCAAAACCCACACAGCTGTGTTAGGATGGTGCTGAGTTCAAGTTATTTCACCCTGCAGCTCAACAAGATGTGGTAACTTGACTAAAGCATGTACTTAACCATAATCAGGTGGCTTCAGATTTAGGCAGGGCTGCAGCTAGCCAGCTCAGCTGTTGTATGTGCCTGCAAAATACCACGTGTACATACCCATATGTGCCATCATGTATTTTCAAGTGCTACTGCCAGCCAAAGATGAAAAGAGGAATGACTGTAGCTGGACCTTCATCTGAAAGAAAAAACTACAGAAGTACTTTGTGAGCATAATACATAACATTATCTTGAGAGCATAGTAGCATTTCAAAACAAAATGCGGGGGGGTTTTGTTAGATATTGAGTCAGGCTAATTTATAGTCCAATATAGCCCAGTATACCTTTTTTTCCTTTTTTAAGTGTAGCTAGTATTTATATTTGGGGGGTTTAAAATTAATTTAATTAATTTTTGCTGCTTATCTTTATTTTTCATCTGCAGTTATTTGATACCACAACTAGAAGTACAAGTTTTCCTTTCCATCCCTCACAGGCTAATAAGCTGCTGGAGGGGTTTTTTAGACTCCAGTACTCCAGGGCAAATTAAGAAACAAGAGAAAGACTTAATTTCTTATTTGTAGTAACTGTATGGGTAGAAAAAGTATCCCTTAGCCAGATATTTTGGTTAGTTTAATTGTCAAGTGTGTTTTAGCATGTAAAACCAATACGTGATATTTAATTTAGTTCATCTTTAGTGTCTGATTCTGAAAAAGAACACTTAACTGCAAATAGTTTTCCTTTTTGTTCGTGTAAGTTAGAGACATTACCTAGTTTTGAATATTAATTCCACCTATTTCAGTCTTTTTCTTTTCAGGTGCAGAAGAAAATAAGATAAAATGTATTTTAAGTAGGAGGTTATTTTTGTTCCACAGAAAGTTACTTTCGGATTTTTTTATGTTATACTGTGTAGTACTGTGGTGAGTCATATTTCTGTACTATAACAGTGCCATGCTATTCTATGGTATTTTTAAAAATGTTTATTAAGGGGGTGTGCACAACAACTAACTGTAGCTAGGAAGGTTGGTCAAATCTTCCCTAGAAAGAGGAAAAACATTCAGAGACCCACTGATTACAGAGGAAATGTCTAGACACTTGACTCCCTTGAACGGAGTTATTTTTTATGATTATATGCACATACCGTAGTGGTGTTAACATTTTGGTGGTAAAATCTTGGTGATTCTAAAGTCAATGGCAAATTAACAATAGCAGAGGGCTCAGATGATATGTCTCAGTTTCAAGTGCCTTAAAAGGACAATTTTGAAAGTGTCACATATAAACAATCCTCGGAATACATTTGGTGGGTTGCTCTTAGGTCATTGTTCTTATAGCCCCGAGGTTTAGAAATATACCCTTTAATTTGTCAGTATTTTCTATAGTAAATTATTAAGTGAAAGTCTGTAGAATAAGAACATGTAATGAAGACCACACTGATACCTCTATTGCAAAAATTTCACGAGAGACTGGCATTTCTGAGACTTTTCTAACCAGTGGCAACATAATTTTAAGACCATCAGGGAACATCCATATCGCCTGTTTCAGGGTGCCTACTGCAGAACAGGCTGATTTGACACATCTAAAGCCCGAGAAATAGCAAAGATCCTCCAATGTCACTCCTGTGTTCACAGGCTGTCATATTTTTCATCCTTTGACTGGAGTTTTGAGATCCTTTTCTTTATGGGTCTCCTTTAGGCTGTGGAATATCACAGAGAACAACTAAAGCCTAAAAAAGAAGTCCTGTTGTACAGGCAGTAAGATTAGATATTCACTCTACATCTGAATGATAATAATTCTGCCAGAGCAATTATTGCTAATAATTATAAAGTCTTTAAAGAAAGGGTCACTAATGGAGGAGTATTAAAAATATTGTTTAATTTTTTTTTAGAAAAGAAGGATCAGCAGCAGGATATTTGTATGCAAGATGTTCGTTTTCTTCCAAAAGGATGCCTGAATCATTCTCTTGAGGGTCCCAAATTCTGCACACTTATTCATAATATTTTAGAGCTTGTGTGTATTTCACTGCATCATTGTTTCACTGCATCATTGTCCGTGAAGTTGCTGAAGCAAAACAGAAGTGAATTATGGCAAATCAGAACTCTGAGACATAAAAGTCTTGGCAGTTGAGGTTAATGCTGCTGTGCGTACCTCTGTGCTTAATGATCACACAGAATAGGTACATTCCAGAATTAAATTTATCTCAGACATTGAAATTTAATTTACAAAGCTTTGGGGCCAGTGATTTGTGGCATTCATAGACCAAATTTCACATGCTGCTACATCTATTTTATGACATCCACCTACACATAAATGTATATCAAAGACATTAAATAGCAAGTAAGAATCAAAAAGCTGCAGTGGCTTGGTTCATTCAGTAAAGTCATTGTCTCAGGGGTTAACTCACATCTCAGAACTGTGTTGCAGATTGTGTTATGCCAACAAGTGGAACCATAATCCATTATTTTTCCAGGGTGGATAATATGATTGCACGTTGCTGTAAAAAGAAGAATTGATGCTGAATGCTTGCTGTTTTCATAGCCATCTGTTAGGATGTGATGTTTTAGTCATTATGGAAAAATTAAAAATGAATTATGCTGTCATGAAAGTCACCCTTATTACCTGGTTTGCATAATTTTATGTGTCTGCAAGAGTTGCTTCCCTGTTTCTTTCTCTGGATGAATATCAGGACAGTAAGCACAAGGATGTAAGAAGCAGAACTGTATAAATTTAGAAAAATACCTGTAGCTTGAGTCTTTTCAGAAAGTAAATCAGTTATCCCACAAGAATCTGAGTAAGCATAGAATTAAGCTATATGTGTAACGACATAAATTAAACATAACCAAAACAAAAAAATCAGTTTTCATCTACCACCAGAAGTCTTACATGTGGTCTGCCGCACAAGCTTAGCTTACACAGATCCCCTCTGGGTCTGACTTTTCATAGCTTTACTGTTTTTCTAAACTTCATGTTTGTGGGCTCACAGGTTACTGTCAAAATGAGAGAAAAATGGTGTTTGTCTCTTTTCCCTTACCTCAGCAAGCCATAACAAATCCACAGGACTCCCAGCTTTAGTTTAATGATCAATGGATATCAACCACTACTCATCTTTCAAACATAACTTCTAAATCCCAGTGGACTTAATCAAGCCAACCAAAAGATGCACATTGCAGTTCCCTGAGGTACCTGGGGATATGAACTCACTGAGAAACTTTGGAGAAATATTTCCTTTTCCTTTTAAAGATGCCAATTCTTCAAAAGCAGAACTTTTTGCACAGGTGCCATTTTCATTCGGAAGGCTTTTCAAGTTCAAGATAGGATTTCTGGCAAAAATCAGAATAAGACTCCCATGCCAAAATCACCCTTGTTTTGCATACTCTTTTGAAATGTGAAGCTCATTCGCCAGCAACCAGTTGCATGCCCTGAAGAGCCCATGGGTAAGGAGGTGTGTGCCTGTCTCCCTTCAGCCAAAACATCAGACAGTTCCCAAGGGGTAAGAAAAGAGGTCAGACTTACCTCTGTCTGGGATAGTCTGCAGGCTGTCTTGTATTCCACACAGCAAAGCATTCTTCTCACCTGTTCTTAGGGGCTTCATTTTTTTTTTCTCTTGTATATACTAAAAGTAATGCAATATAGGATCCTAAATCTCGGGATTATCCAAGGTCAACTAAGCCCTCTTCAGATTTCATTTTTTGTCTGTTTATTAGTTTTGATGGTTCTCAGCAAACTTCTAAATGTTTAGAAATAGTAAAGGTTCTCACTATATTACCTTTTTCCTGCTCATCTGACTAAATAATAGCCTTCATTTAAAATAAGGACAGCTGGCAAGGGATTAACCTGAGGGAAATATTTGCCTTTGATATTCTTAGGGAAAAAAAAAAGTAATAAGATGCAATATTTTAAAGGAATTCAGCATATTTACTGTTTAGTTCTTACACTTTCTGAGTAATTTTTATGGAGATTCTGCGCATATGACCAAAGCTCTTCAAAGTTGGTGCTAGTAGACTCCTGCATCCTGGCAGCAGGAGCTGGCCCAAGTTAAAGTGAGTCCAAGTCTGGGATCAGTGATGATACCTGAGTAATAAGTTGCAATATTTTAAAGGAATTCAGCATATTTGCTGTTTAGTTCTTACGCTTTCTGATCACCATTATGTGATTCGCTGAAATCTTACTCCCAAATATCAGGAAACCAAGAATAGAAGAGAAAGTCTGATTATAAATTCCTAGATCAGTGGTTCCAAACTGTAGTCTATGAGGCCTTGGTAAGTGCCCTGCAAAACTGTGTGAAATACTGTTTTCTGTTGCAAATCTGACAAAGCTTCTAAAGTTTTTCTCAACAAACATTGACGTTCCCACTAATCCACTGTCCAAAAAGTAATGACTCTTCTAGGTGATACAACAAAACTGAGAAGTAAAAACAAATGCTGACTGGTGGCCCCAGCCACCTCCAACCCCTCTTTGGACAGAGTAGTCTGCGAGTTGTATCTTGCACAGCCTTGGCCAGGGGTTGCAGACAGCTGCTGTTTCCCCCTAAGGGAAGGAGCTGCCTGGCCCCAAGAGCTGTTCCTTCCAGGGAAGTTACCCTCCCAGTTCTCCCCGTTGCTCAATTAACATCTGCTGTTGTTAATTTGGTGACAGTTTGCTTCTAAATTCTGTAATGAGGGTGTGTGAGTGGTCAGTGTGACACAGCAATGGTCTTTTTTACCGTGTATTAACATGTCTTCCCTCCTTCCCCTCCAACCCTGAGCAGTGTGCTCGACAGCGCAAGTCGCCTGGATGAAGAGCATAAGCTGATCGCCAGGTATGCAGCAAGGCTGGCAGCAGAAACTTCTTCATCAGTAAGTGTTTTAATTAAAGGAAGGTACTTTCCTTCTGTCGTGTTCCAGGGGCTTGGCAAGATCAAGGAAATTACATCTGACAGTCTTAATGATTAATGGATTGTTTTTTCCTATCCTTTTCATCAGATGCTGTTATGCTTTAGTAATAACACTTTTATGCAGTCCATTTAAACCGAAGGATCCACACACTAATGCATATAATCTATATACTAATGCAGTGGTATTTAAACAATTACAGCAAAGGGAGTCTGACATCTTGAACTCAGGAAAGACTAGAAAATAGTGTCTGGACTAGCTTTGGTTAAAGGTTAATGATTTCCTGCAGTGGAAGAATGGGGTGGTGAATCCGTTTTACTCTTTAGTTCAAATATCATGGCCACTAGGGCCCTAAGTGCTAAGGATTTTAAAGAATGATCTTCAGCAGTATGACTGTAATGACCCCCTGCATTAGCCTCAGCTCCCATTTCCATTTCGGAGCCATGATTATTCTGCTCTATGTATCCCAAGATAGAAGGTGGTGACAGGCTAAAATCTCACTAACTATATTCAGGAATAAGAGAGAATGAAGCAGGAACCTAATCGAAGTATATAAAATCTTAAATGGCACAAATAAGGTTGACCTAGTTACTTTTTTCTCATCTCAGCACATTTGATAGAACAAGGGACCATAAATGATGGTTAAGTGGAAAGCAGCCGGTCCGGAGTGTCAGGAAGCATATTTTCACACTGAGATTTACACAGCAGGGTCAGTTGAAAGGGCGAAATCAGGCACCACTCTTCGTGTAAAAACACTGAGTCACGTTCATCCCAAGCGAAGGCAGTAAAGATGAATCTGCTGCCCCATGCAGCCATCTGTTATGGAAGATTTCACAATACCTGGAGCTGCAGGGGAAGAGGGGTGCACGAGTGCTCCTGCTCTGCCAGCCCAGCCCAAATCAGTCCTTTCCAGAGGTGGTGTCGTGCTTTAGCCCCAGCCAGCAACTAAGCACCACGCAGCCACTCGCTCACTCCCCCTGCCCCGATGGGATGGGGGAGAGAATCAGAAGAGTGAGAAACACTCCTGGGTTGACATAAGAACAGTTTAATAACTGAAACAAAATAAATTAAAATAGTAGTAGTAATAATAGCAAGAATAATAATAATATACAAAGCAAGTGATGCACAATGCAATTGCCCACCACCCGCTGACCGATACCCAGCCGGTTCCCGAGCAGTGATCGCTGCTCCCCAGCCAGGTCCCCCCAGTTTCTATACTGAGCCTGATGCCATATGGTATGGAATAGCCCTTTGGCCAGTTTGGATCAACTCTTCTGGCTGTGCCCCCTCCCAGTTTCTTGTGCACCTGGCAGAGCACAGTAAGCTGAAAAGTCCTTGACTAGCATGAGCAGTACTTAGCAACAACTAAACCATCAGTGTGTTATCAGCATTATTCTCATACTAAATCCAAAATACAGCACTGTGCCTACTACTAGGAAGAAAATTAACTCTATCCCAGCCGAAACCAGGACAGATGTGACACAGTGTTTCAAATTTAAGGCAACCTGTAGGTGGTGGTCCTGTTTCTGAAGGACGGTAATTCTTTATGGGAACAAGATTTTCCATTAATAATGTCTCTGGGTAGAAACTGGTAGAAATCAGTTGTATATGACATGTGTCCGTGATATGGAAGAAAACTTAGGAAACAGATAATATTTAAGTAGCTTTTAAATAGAGCTGTTTTGAAGGAAAACACTGAATTTCTCGTTGCCATGCATCTGTTCTCTTTGAACAAAAGAGACAGAAGGAAAAGAGAAGGTTTCTGTATACAGAAATCTCTCCGAGCACAAGAGTGGCACCACATTAGGAACACAGTGGAGATTTTTAAAGCTTTCCTGATGGTCATTCTGCTTTTTAAGGAACAAAATGTATGAATAACACTGGGAATTCAGGATAAAGATCCTGGTTCCCCCTGTATCAGTCATGACATCCACCAGCATGTGTCACTTCTTCTTCTTCATGCACTGCTCTGCTTCCCTATGGTTGGAGTGTTAATGGGAAAATGTACATGTAGCAGAAAAAACAGTAAATGCTTACAGACATAGTGTACTGTCCTTTCCCCACAGACAGTGCTAACAAAGGATAGCACTGAGATGTATCTTCATAATTTTTGAGGGCCCACCTCCTGGAGGAAGAGGTGCCTGGCATCACATAAAATTGGGCTCCAGAGTTACACTTCACAGGGCTTTTATGATGAGAAACACTCAGATCACAGCAGTAACTAAGCAGAGTATTTTTTAATGTCTGATTCTTTCAGGTTAGAGTTAGGAATAAATGGATATCTTTGGTAGCTGTGAAACTTTAAATGTCTTGCTCTGCGTTTTCATTGATACAATACTGAAATACAGGAGTGTGAACAAGGAAAACAGTGTTTGGTTATTGCTGATGAACATGAAAAAAGAGCATAGTCCAATGAAGATGTAGTGAGCACTGTCTAGCTTGGTGAGAAATAGTTTAATTGCCACTTCATTTTATTGGGGAAAAAAGGTTCTACTGTACCTGAAGGACTGGGGAAAGAGGTTTTCTGAAGTATCATCAGAGTGTATAGGAAAACTTGGCCAAATGGGTCACACAGCCAGACTGAAGACTGAGTACAGCTTTCAAACCAATTGTAGAACGGTACTTTCAAGAGAACGAAGCATCACTGCACTGGAAACACATCCACTTCTTTTTGGAGACAGACACTGGTTTTTGCTTCAGTGTATTCCTCTTGTCTGTAGTATCAAAATTAAGAGCCATGTTAGAGCAACTGCCTGTGGCAGTGCCATTGCCTTTTACAATTGGTTCAGAGGAAGCCCAGCGAAGAAGCAATGAATGACAGGGTGGTAAACACTGAGTCTTATTTACTCTAGCACTTATCCTGCTTTTACTAGCAATGGAGCCATACTGGTATGAGCACAACATGGATGCTCTTTTTTTAGCGTAGGCAAGCCTGGTACTGCATTTTCTGTAAGCAGATTTCACAGAACAGATCTGTGTTGAACTCATGGGTGCATGCTGGCTATTCTTCCTTCAGTGCAGCCTTCTCTTTTTTACAGCAGCAGCAGCAGGGTCAGCAGAGGGGGGCATCAGATATCTCCTTCACCATTGATGCAAACAAGCAACAAAGGCAGCTGATTGCAGAACTTGAAAATAAAAACCGGTAAGCATCCACAAAGTACTTGGTATTGTTCAGTCCCATATATTGTGTATGTTTGTTTGCTTCTTAATATTTTTTACCACCTACTTCCGTCCAATATGCTTATACATGCACATACACGTCCCCCTACAAAAAGCACAAAGGCACAAAAAGGTCCACAGAATATGACAAAGGCTTTGAAGTCCATAGCCACCCTGTGTTTTAATGAGCGTACTGTTCAATGACGTGATATAATCATTGATACTTTACTGTTTGCGGCTGCTGTTTGTTAAGAGTTAAAAAAAAAGCCCGTCCTGTTTCAAAACCAGATTAACTTTGAGTTGGATCCTCTGTAGCACTACAACATGAAATGATAAAAGGATCAGTCACACTGGTAATGTTATGCTCCCCTGCTTTTATTTGTGAAAAAGATGATTAAAGCTCTCCAGAACACAGTCTGCCTGGGAAAGGTTTGCAGAAAGGTTAGCAGCAAGTTAGGCTGCTGATTAAATGAGACACTAGGTACAAATGTGACCAAGTCTGAGAGAGCGTGTCCAGGATCCGGCCCCAAAAAGCCCGTGATGCCCGTTTGTTAGCAGCAGAGGATCTGGCCCTGGGTATCAGGCTGCCTGATGCCATGAAATGTATGGCAAAAGAGCTCTGCTTTTACTGCCGGACTGTAAAATAGAGGCCAGCCCAGACCAGATGGCTTCCTATTCCAAACTCTGCACTGCCTTCTGTCACCGTGTAATGAGCCACCAGCTCCACTCTCGATTTGTCTTTCATAGTTCGAGGCTGCCTCCTGACCGTCTGCTGTCCAGCATGTTGTGAAGAAGACACAAAATTCACAAAGGTTTCAACCTCCTGCTGCAAAGCTTTGTATTAGCCTTTTGACAGCGCTCCAGGGCTGGCAAGCCAGTCTTAACAAGTCCTATTAAAGAGCTTCTCCATGAATTGTTGACCACTCTCACATCTCTACTTAGACTAAAAGTATTTTTTTAAGTGCTAAATATTTTCTCTGATACTTAAGAAGGGCCAGATAAGTTATTTTAATTTTTAAGTTCGTGTGGTGCTTGAAATGTTCATGGGGAAGAATTAGAAGGGAGCAATTTAATTAAGCAAAGAGCTATTTTATGTCTACCTCTGATTTTTGGGTGTCTTGAAGAAATATCTCCCTTTATCGTGAAATCCTAAAAGTTTATTTAAAAAATATCCAGAGCCCTCTCCCATCACTGAGGGCTTCTTTTGTTGGGTGGAGCCCAGTCATTATGTCTATGCTGATGAAGAGCTACATACAATCACACTTTTTCTCCTCTTGTGATGTCCAGTGAGCTGGTTTTGTGGAAAATTACTGACTTAGTCTTCTGCTTATTCTCCTCCCCAAGAGAAATCCTACAGGAGATCCAGAGACTGCGACTTGAACATGAGCAAGCGTCTCAGCCCACACCCGAGAAAGCACAACAAAATCCCACTCTCCTTGCAGAGCTCCGGCTCCTGAGGTAAGTCCACAGCAGTGAAACCTCTGGCCATGACTGGGGCCAGCCAGTCATTCTCAATAAGAGCAGAAATAAGAGATAAGCCTGGCTTATGATTTTGGGGGCTTTTTTAAGTAAATAACAAAATGTGTATTTTTTTCTCCATTTTCAGTGCAGGCTGTAGTCCTAGAAGTAATTAAGCTTATGCTTTAAACAGCATGCATGAGGAATCTCACATATTACTCATCTACATTAAATTAAGCATGTGCATTAGTGTTTGCAGAGCTAGGCCCTTAGGTCATTTGGAATAGGTCCCCACAGCGCTGTCCAAATGCCATTAATTATATGGGGAAAAATGGTGTTCTGTCAGAACAAATGCTTCTACAAAGACTTCTCGTTTATGCTAAAGTAAATACAGAGCCACATGAAAATACAGCCAGAATTAGATGTTAATTTTTGGAAATTTCCCCCATGTGTTGAACTCTAAGGAGAGGTCAGTTGTCTTCACGGTGCAAAACCAGGCTGCAGAATGGTCCTCCTTGTCACATGGGAAGTGAGGAGGTATGTCATCTGCAGCAGCTGAAAATTAGAAGATCATTTCTCCAATTATCCCACCAAGCTAAAAACATTGATGTGGATGTGTCTGCATGTTAATTAGGATACTCTACATGGATTTACTAATTGCCATGTATATCACATTGAAAAAGAACAATTGTCATTGGCCGAGATCCGTAGGCTCCCTGCAAGTCCTGAAGTTCATGTTGCGAGAGCTAGACAGAGAATCCAGTAAGAACTATTCAAAAAACTTCACGTAAATAGAGGATAGATTGTAAATACTTTCTTTCTAGTGAAACAATGCTGGAATAAATTTTATCACCTCCCATAGAGCAGTTCTCTCATGAGGATACTAAAGAACTTTTTTGGCCACTTAGCTACTCCTCACACAAGTAATATTTTAGTGGTCTGATTCATAACCAAAGGAAATTACTGTAAGAAATTGTGCTAAATTTTTTCTTTGCAAATACTGTATAGTTTTATTATTGAGTTTTCCACACTAAAATATTTTTCTGTTTCACAAATAATTACATTTGTTTTCCAATCTGCAGACAAATTAGCTGCTTCATTTCTATGAGTGATTTTAGTATGTAATTACTTCTAGGTATCTACAGGCAAGCAACATTCTGTGAGACATATAAAACTGACTATGATGAATATGTGTACACTGCATAAAACATACCAATAATGTAGCTCCTGTGCATCAAGCCTAAAGTCTATTTTAAGCAGGTTTAGGAGATTAGCTTTCTATGCAGTTGACAAATAAAATTCATTACCCTTAAAAAAAAAATCAAATGATTGTGCAGTGTTAGCAGACTGACTACTTATTTTTTCCCTCTTTTTGATTTTGCTACACATATTAAAGCATACATAATATCCTTATTTGAATTTCCTGACATGGGATGTCCCTAGGGCAGTGATGCTGAGTTCCTCAATTATGATCTCTTTTCTGATTTAATATGCAGTGTCAGAATCAGAAAACAGCTTTTAACTGTGGGTCTGTACTGCTTTGCACACCTTCTAAAATGTTCGTCATTTGAAAGGCAAAAGATTGGCTTTTGATTTACTGTGGAATTTTGACACCACCTTGAATTCCTAGACACTTAAGAAGTCACGAGGCTGTTCTTATCCTGTGTAAAACAGCAGGACTCAGAACAGCAGCGCTGATTTACATCTGTTACCCCACAGATTTTTGGGGCTTGTAGCAATTAGGGCAGTAGGGCAATTTAGCTCATATAATATTAAGAAATGCTGGAATCTGTACATTATGTTGTGAGTACCTGTCCCAGCATCTGTCACTAGCTGCTGTAGTGTTGCAGACTCGCTGAAATGAGGTTCTGAACACAGCATTCCTTCACATTACCAGTGCTGTCTTGGAGACAGGTTGGAAAGCCCGTTACTTCAAAGAACTTGCTGTGGAGTACAGCGGGAGAAAAAAGTCAGAGGAGCGGTCTATACATTGCACGCTGCTTAGATCCTCTCTCCCCATAGAATGAATCTGAAACCCAGCAGAGGTCTGTGCTAGGACCTGCCACTTTGAATTACATGGAGAGGGTATCTTATTTTTATTAGCAGTTTCTTAAACTCAGTTGCCTTTGTACAGTTCATAGCATTTCCAACCATTACATGCCCAGAAAAGAAAAGCCAGCACGGGCAATTTGTAGCAGAAAATATATTAATCCTCCAGAGGAGTAAATACAACCTGGCAGTGTTACTATATGATCCTGTTATATAAGTGAGAGATAGCACACGCTACAATCCTGTAGAAATCAGTGTTGCTTATATCAGTAACTGCTCACTTACAGAAAAGGCTCAAAATCAGGGTTTCATATTTCCCTAAATATAGGAAATGTACTTAGTCTTGTTGGCTCTGGTGCTTTTCCACTTAGGATTCAATTGTCATATTTTGTCGACAGTACAAGGCTATCAACATAGTGGTTTTATGTTATTTGCAACACAGTAGTGTATAAAATATACCTAATATGTATATTTTTCAACAGTAATGTTTTTAATTGCGTCGTAGCTTCGTGTTTATGTGGGGACCTCTCACACAATTTAGTGATTGAACATGTGAGAGTGCTGAACCCGTGTCCTGTGCAGTGGAGCCGTGCAGAACCAAAACTGTTCGAGTTTATGTGGGCACAAACTGGCCATTACACTTGGAGTGGCTCAGTATTCACACTGTCACACGACCAGCACTGGACTCCGAGTCCAAAGAGCTATTTTCAAGCAGTTATATCTCCACTATGTGATAGTCTTACTCTTGCTTTCAGAAAAAAAAATAGAAACAAAAGCAGGTCTCTGTGGGTTTTCTGGCTGAATTTCTGAACTCTCCTAGCTTCTCTCATATCTCGCTCTGTTGGTGCCCCTGCTGTAATTTCCTGTCCTTCAGGGCATGGCTTTAATTTCTTCTGACAGCTAGCGAGGTTGTTGACTAGAGAGATCCAAAGACAAAAACTGCCAGGCATTCCCACAAGGGAATATAACACAAATTTGTTTGAACCTCATTTGTTCTTTGGAGAAGGGTCTGTGTCAGTGTCTGTCTTTTTCCTAATCACTATATTCAGTCCCATGAATATTCTCAGTGTGAGGGAACTCCCCGGCTTTCTTGTAGCCCCGTTTCCAAGCACTGTGCTAAATTCATACAGTGTGTTTGCTTTCCTGTGGTCTATAGGCATATACCTTATAGTCGGGCTGGGGAAACGATGCAGTTAAAAGCTGTTGACGCTGTGAGGGGTAAACTCTGATCAGATCTGCTTGTTTCTCAGACAGCGGAAGGATGAGCTGGAACAGAGGATGTCTGCTCTCCAGGAAAGCCGCAGGGAGCTTATGGTTCAGTTAGAAAGCCTCATGAAACTGCTGAAGGTAAGGAGCTCCACCTGATACTACCAAGGAGAACAGGCAGAGTGACGCAAGAGAGGAGAGGAAAGAGATATGACCAGAGAATTCTGCAGAACTTGACTATTTCCACCCATAAAATTTGGCTTTGTTTCCTTCCCTTTCTATTTTTTGCCTTGGTCTTCCAATTCAGGGCTTTCAAATGATGCTCAGATGATGTTGGTCCTGTAGTAATACTGCATCATCATTGTCACCTACTGCTAAGTGGATGGAACATCAGAGACAGGCTCTGAACTATTGAAGATTTAATACAACGCTTTAAATAAAACTGCAGCATGATGCAATACAGCGCTGGTTTTGCTCTTTTGTAGAAGGATTTGGCCACATCTCTGGATTTCAGGCTAGCAATCTCTGGATTGGCCATTCAACAATGTCCAAACACAAATATTTTGTGGTCCAGTTTCAGGTGGTTTTAGAGTTGTCTCTGTTGAGGACGTCAAATTAAAAAAAAAAAAAGAGTAAGAAACAAACCAACACGTAAAACAAGTTAACTAATAAATGTGAGAAAAACAACTCATCGCTGTACACTATTACCTGCTCCAACTGACAATACAGAACTGCTTTTGCTAGTTCCTTTAACTTTGCAAATTCAGTTGCTAGTTCTGTCAGACATGCCATTTGACAACCACATCTAACTCTCTGATCTTAGAGATGCTTTCCCAACAACACTTGTTCATTTTCAAAAATACAGAAACAAGCCCTTGTTAAACAGATGAAACATGCCTCAATAAAGGATCTCAGTTAAAAATGGAGATATCAAAAAGCGTGTGCATTTTTAAGACAGACTAGGGTAAGATGGAAAACGTGTCTTTACTTGCAGAGTCCAGCCCTATCTTACCTGATGTGCCTCAGGACAGATGATGCCAGAAATTCATGGTGGAAGAAAGTGCTCTGAATAGCATAAGGCTCTTGTTTTGTTGTTGGCCATGCTAGGTAAAATCAGTGCATGGAAATTCAGTGCAACTTGGGTCAAATATGGCTCTGATAAAAGCAGACAGAATTTCACTGAAATCCATTTAGCAACATGTGTTTGCATCAAAGGATGAGTTTGATGCTTTATGTCATTTGCATCTCCTCAGGCACAGGCTCCTGCAGCCACGATGCAGGAATTGGTGGCACCTGAGCAGCAGAGCCCACCTAGTAGCCAGCAGATTTCTGGGAGCTGGGAGTAAACAGGATACTTTTCGCTCTACCTGTGAAATGCTGCAGTGCTACAACTAGCAGTCTGGGCTGCCTGCTGTCATTGCACTGCCTGGACAAAGACAAATTTGGGGTAGGAAATGATAGTAGCTTTCTGCACGCTTTGTGCTGTTCTGGTGTTTCAAAGTGTGCAGAGGTGGGACCATAACCTGGTCACGTACCAACTATCTTGACTGTACTTTTAACACTGTACTCCCGATTTGGTTTTGTTTTCTGTTCTTCACTTACATCCTGGCTAATCTTATGTGCTGATCCTCTTTTTCTTTAGGAAGAAGAATTGAAACAGGTAGTAAGTTACCTCCTTGTTGGAGGCCTCACTAACTCCTAAATGTGATTGTGTTCCTGTGATTTATTTCACTTCTTTGCTTGAAATGTGTGTGTGTTCTTTTGACCAAAATTAATATTTTGCAGTTCTTTCGCACATTTTGTTCAAGTATCTTGGAGCAATTTTCACAAGTAAACATCTTAGCGCTCTAGAAAATGAGTTGTTGGTACAAGGAGTCTTGATCTTTTTCTCAATCCTCTAAATAAGAACACATAAGACATGGAAACCACTAACCATAGATACGTGAATTAAAGAACACTTCTACCATAGATAACATTTTGAAAATGTAATGAGAATTTTGGAGCTTTAGGAAAAATATAACTGAGTTTAAATTAGGCCAGGACAATGAGTTTGAAATCCCACTTTATCCAGAAAAAGTCAGGGCATTGTGTGCACATCTTTTAAAGTTGGCACTGATACTAACAGCCCCATGAATCTTCAGGAAAATAATGTTGTTTCTAAATGGCTTCTGCAACGTAGATCAAAAAGGGCAAGTATTTATACTACTAATGGTAAATTTTAGAAGTTAATTGTTTTGGAGCTTTTTAGTATTGAAATGGATCTTGGAAAGATATTAGGCTAAAAAAAGCACTTTTCAGACAGCAGTCTGATTTATGAGACCAATAAAAATGTTTCATTTTAACAAAATGCGCTGCTTCTTGCTTTCCTCAGCAGAAGTACAGTCACAAGTCTGATGTGTTCTGTCTATGGTAGAGCATGCAGAGTTTGTAGGTAATGCTCACTTTCATAAAGCTAACATTTTGCCTTATTTTTGTAGAGCGTCAGTCTGTTGCACCAAAAAAAAAAATCTGACCAAAGATCGCCTCCCTGTAAGGACTGTCTTTTTGATTCTGCTTAACAGTATTAAAAGACCTTCCATTCACAAAAGAGAAGTTTCCAATGTGACAAGAGTTTCCCTACCGTATAAAATGTTCAATGGACAGTGTAAGTGAAAGCACATTTTCAGGATATTATGAGATAGGATTTTTTTTCTTCCGAGTAATAGCCTCGCTGAATACCAGGTGATGACACTAAGGAATTACTCTCACAATTTCCATTCAATGATCCCCATTACACTATGCCATTTCATGATCTGTTGAGAGAAACAGGGTTAAATTAGTTTCTGGAGGAATTCAATTAGAATGAGCAGCCTGGCAATTCGTCTAATGCTTGTGAACTTTCTATTTCCCTCCTGCCTTTCCTTGAGGAAAGGTAATGAGTTCTTCACATCCATGTGGTCGGATGAGGCTGTGAGATGGGCTTTCCCCATATGTCATCCCAGTTCAGTTCCGGCAGAGGGAGCAATGGGCTAAAGCTCCTGTAAAGCCAGTTTTCATTTCAAGCATTTTATCCTAAGCATGCGTGACAGTTGATAGTGGGAAATCTGTTCCTGTCTAGCAAGGGTTAACTTAAAATCCATAGCAGGCTGACTAGGGATGGTGAATTAAATAAAATACATGGAAATCTTCCTAAAAGGCAGGAGAACATTGATAGTTGCAACCAAGTACAACAGAAAAGCTGAAGCCATCCACATGTCCGTGGTGGCTGTGGCAGCTCCCCTTTCGGCATGCCTTAGTCCTCAGCTGGTGGGGCTGCCAAGGTTTGGGAGCAATTCGGTGCTCGATTTCTCTGCTGAGATTACCAAGAAGTCGCTACTGATTATCATTGCAGGTTTCAGGCTGTTAGATCTGTTAGAAACCACATTTCTCCTGAGAACCACGAAGCAGGAATCCAGTCCTAATAGCTCTCTGTTCCCACAAACTTGGGCTGAGGTGGATCTAGATGAGTAAAATATAATTAAAGTGTTCACCTCTCTGAAATCAGGTATTCCCTGATAGCCTCCTATTTCAACTTGCTGTTCATCAGTTCTGTCTGATGCTGCCCAAATAGTATAAAAAGAGAGGATTTTTTACTGGACAGGGGACTCCCAATGCTTCATCTCCCCATGCTTCCCAAACAATTTGTTCCAACGCTGAAAGCTACAGATAAGAGAGCACTGTTTATCATAAACACAAGATCTCAGTCATAGCTGCAAAGCAGACACAGGGTAAGCACTGGTGTGCAGCAACTTTTACATTTCTCTTGTGGGAAAATTCCAGCAAAGAAGTACTGGCAGGCATCTGTTATTTTTAGTAAATAAAATGCCTATTCTGAAATTCATTCCTTAAATGTGACTTGACTATAGGAAGCAAATTTTGTCCATTTTTTTCTCATCTTCGCTGAAAGTTCCCACTGTTGTTGGTGTTCCTCAGAACCAAGATCAAAGGCAAAGGAGAGCTGAGGAAAAAGGGCAAGCAAAAGAGGGAGCTGGGAACCAGAAATTCTTTTGCAAACTTGTTTCACAGAGGATGAAGCATGCCCTGTTGGGGCATGAAAGGAGATAGCCGTAGATCCCAGATCCCCTGCCTGGTGTGCAGGGGCTGCGATCTCCAGGGACCTTGGAGCACCTCCAGCTTGCTCTGTGCCCTGCCTCTGAAGGACTAGAGATCTGCATTTCTGCTGGAGTGGGTACAGACAATTCCAGAAACAGGAGAGCATCTGGCCTTTATATATTCGACTTCCCTTTCATCCATCATTTAAATGTTCTAAAACCCATCATTAAAGAAATTATAAGTATTAAATCCTCCGTTGTCCCATCAGTAATGTGCTTATTCCTCATAAACCTAATTTGCCCTTGATGTCTCTCTGGTGATAATGTCTCTTAGAAAGGGGTGATAGGAGAAAAGAACAAATAGCTTAGTATTCTGATACATTATTTATGGTCCAGGGCAGGAATTTATAAAAATCTCAAGGGCAATGCTGCACTCCTGCAATGGGCTGCTGTTCTCTTTTTCAGAACATGTTTGCCAAACCATATCAGGGCTGCAGTGGCAGACAGTACAGGAGTCAAAATAAATGCCATTGGAAGAGTTAAGAAATCCTCCTGAATTCTCAAAATAAAGCCAGGGTGAGGGAAACACCAGCCCTCAGGTTACTTTTCACTGAACAACCAGGGGCATGTGTTGCAGTTCCCCTTTAACAGCACTCAAACCACCTCCATCTTTGGCATCTGCCAAACACAGGTTTTCAGTCAAAAGCTGTGTGAAGTTTGGTGTGGGTTCCAGCATTTGTTTTTCCTTACGTCGATGCACATTCCCAGGGGGTCCGAAACAGTCGAGGGAAGGTGCACTGTGTCTCTCGGTATCACTCACCCAGCTGCATTTGTAAAAATGACTATTTTGTAAAGTCTGCTTGAAATTTCAGCTAAGTGATACTAACTGTGAGGTGCTAACAGCATGACATTTTATATGACTGGTGTTAAAACATTTTCACTTCCAGCAGCTGAACCCATGGCAGGAATTTATATTGCCCTATTCCCACAGTGTTTTAGGAGTGCCTGAGTATATCCTGTAGAGCGAACAATTTAATAGTGTATGATTTACTAGTGGCTTAAAATAGTTCTCTAGCTCTGAATAAAAAGCATAAAGCTATATTATTTATTGCGAGTGTCAGCCTTTATGTGACTGAGAGGTTGCATGTACCATGAACTTCTCCTGCAGGGAGGCGGAGGGCAGGGCTGTGGTCAGCTCTCATGGCAGCGCTCTGATGAAAGGGGCCATTTCAGTCCCTTGCCCAGGCTGAAAGCCACGTCGGTGCCAGCATCTTTCCCCTTCTCACAGCCTGAATGGGTTGTGTTTTATCAAACATGCATGCGAACTGAGGGGGTGAGAGAGGAAAGAGGGCAGAGAGAAGGTCTGTACTTTGGTGCTTATTATCTTGGATTTTTTTTAATTTAGCTGCCTGACATTTTCCCATGCTTAAAGGAAGTCAGATCTTGACTCATATTTTCCTACTTAATATTTTTCTACATGGAAGCCTTGCTGTCCGCTAACAACTGACTTCAGTATATTTCTTTTAGCAACATTAACATTACCCAGCTGATGTACAAACAGCATGATGCCTTTAAGCTGAAGGATGGGTGACGAGCAGCAGGTGAGGGCTCTTGCAAAGACCTGTTTAACCCCTTGTGACTGTTTTGCAGACCCAAGGGGCAGGCTCCCCACGTTCCTCACCCAGCCACACTATCAGTCGACCGATTCCAATGCCCATCAGGTCTGCCTCTGCCTGCTCCACCCCAACCCACGCACCTCAGGACTCTCTGACCGGGGTGGGAGGAGATGTGCAGGAAGCCTTCGCACAAAGTAAGTCTTATTACTAGCTTGTCTGAGGTACTCGGAGACTATTTGAAGAATCGTTATTTCTTGTGGTTAATGACTAAACGAACTCGAGCTTCTGAGTTGCATGCAATGAAACAAAACAAAAAAAACCCCTGCAACAACTGTGTTTTGCCATTGAAAATCAACTTTGCCAGCCATCAGACTTGATGTCAAAGCAAGCAGGTAAGCAGAAACTGGTCAAGGATGCCAATTAATGGATTTTGTGGTAAGAGGGAATTTTGATGCAAGATGGTCAGACCAGTTATCAGTGCTCTGTTAACCAGAAGAAGAATTGCTATTGGCCTCTGCAAGGCGTTGTCAATGTGTTTGGTTTTAAGTGAAGACTTTGCTAGGAATAGATTATACAATCATAGAATTAGTTCAGGTGGAAAGGGCTCTTGTAAGTCACAATGTCCTCCTGCTCCAAGAAAGAGGGCTTCAAAGTGAGATTAGACCGTTCAGGACCTTAACCAGTTAAGTTCTGGAGGGCTCCTGGTATGCATTTTCCACGGCATCTGTTCTAGTGTGTGACCATGCTTACTGTGTAAATTTTTTGTACTTGTATCTGATTGGAACATCCCTTGCTGCAACTTGTGACTGTTGTCCTTTGTCCTTTTGCTTTGGGCTTCTGAGAAGGGTCCAGCTAGACTAGACAGGAATCGAGTCTGGAAATCTAGGTGAACCATTCCTTTGTGTTTCCAGAAAACTGTTGTAGGCTCCACCGTGTTTCTCACTCCTGTTTCCACTCTTTTGTCAAGTAACAATAAATTTTAAACTGTTTTGAATTTCTAAGGCCACAGATTAAAAGATTATGTTGAATACTAAAGAAAGTAAATAGTCTATAGAATCATAGAATCATAGAATCATTTAGGTTGGAAAAGACCTTTAAGATCATCCAGTCCAACCATTAACCCACACTACCAAGTCTACTCTAAGCCAATCAAGGGTAGACTAGACTAAACCATGTCCCGAAGTGCCACATCTACCCGTTTTTTAAACAATTCCAGGGATGGGGACTCCACCACCTCTCTGGGCAGCCTTTTCCAATTCTTGACCACCCTTTCTGTAAAGAAATTTTTCCTAATTTCCAACCTAAACCTCCCCTGGCGCAGCTTAAGCCCATTTCCTCTCGTCCTATCGCTAACTACGTGGGAGAAGAGCCCAACACCCACCTCACTACAACCTCCGTTCAGGGAGTTGTAGAGAGCTATAAGGTCTCCCCTCAGCCTCCTGTGATCTAAATAAAGAAATATTCCTTCTTTTTCTAATCTGCTCTCTCCTAAAACAGTTACGTCACTGCAATTCTTTTATTTGAATGATTTTTTTCCCTGTGTGCCTAGTACAAATCGAATGTAAGTAGAGCTCTAGAGTTCCTCTGCTACAGTGGAAGCATGTTTGTTCCCAGGAGCCCAGTTCAACCCTCTCATGCACCCTTCCCCTTGATTTTCGTGGGAATTGTGTCTCTGTGTGTGTCTTAAGACAAGGTTGAATCTGTAATGCAATCAAGAACTTTCTACTAAAGTGCTAGTCAATTCATGTATTGAACATAACAGCTTGCTGGATATCTCATTTTCCATGGCAAACGAAACAGGCAAGATACATATTTCTTCTTTTTGCTGTGAAAAAAAATGAGACAGGCAAAAATATGGACCACTAACCCCTATGCTATTATAGGACAGTTTCTTCAGAGCCAAGAGTAAGAGAAATAATGTAGTGGCCACAACAAAATATCCATAAATAATACTAAGGCTGCCCCAGGCAAATGCTTTTTAAGTATATAAATGTGTTCTGTTCAAGATAAAAAGCAATATAAAAAGGTAGGCGATCACATTTAAAAACTGCTGCATTTGATAAATATCTAGCTTTATGTCATTATTTACCATATTGTCTAGATGGGAAGGTCAAACCCAAAGAACTTAAAGCCAGCCATTCTGTCACATCTTAACACATGACTTTGGGCCCAGGAGGGGCTGAGATTTTATGGCTCCATTCTGTGTTGCACCAACAGAGATCTACCTATATATATATAATGCAGACAAGCCATTGTTAAAGCACGGTTTCTCTTGGGTTGGTTTTTTTTTTTTTCTTTCATAGTGTTTGTAATAGTTCAGAGATACAAAATTGAGAAGACTTTAGAGAGGGAGTGGCTGTCTGAGTATTTTTGTGTGTGTAAGAAAGAGAGAGTTTAACTACTTTAATTTACAATCCAGTAACCATTTGCTAATGGTTAAAAAAAAGACTCTTTAGGCTTTGGGGAACTTCTTAAAATGTATTGTTTTACATTCAGCCAGTTTTAAAGAATCTACAGCAGTCAAATCCTGCCAATTCCTGTGAATAATCCAGTCTGGAAGATTAGAGATTCTTTGGGATATTTCAGCTGATTATTCAGCTACAATAGGAGCTACGTTTGGGATTTGGGGGAGTTAAGCACACGTGACCCACAGCCTATTCCTAGGGAAGGAGTATTTCATGCAGCTCACAAGAATCTTTCATGATTGATGGCTAAGGGAATATT